CGAACGGATCATACCAGTACCACGTATTGTGAAAACTATCTATGATCCAACACTCTTCACTGGTGTCACATTGGTTGTCCGGGAAGGCTTTCGCACATGCGGTTTGGACATTCGACTCTTCCCACTGAGGGCAGACTAGCAGGGTAGCAAAAGCAGTCCTACCTACAGGTAACAAATGCGCAAGATAGAGCCTGCAACCATCATCGCCAGGCTTAGCAATATACCAATCAGCAGCGCTAGCCCCATATGGCAACACCGGTTTTAGCAACATGCTTCGACTACCTAGCTGTTGCCGAAAAGCATAGCTGGCTTGGCAAATCATGCAATCCTCTCTTCTCTTATGCAACGACTTGAACTCTCTGCGAATACTTGACCAGTGCTCTCGATCATGCCACCAGACTCTGTAGCACCACTGATGCTGGAGCCGAGTGGTAGCCGTGAGGCTCGAAGCAAGTATGTTTTGCCTACTGTGACTGCACGGGGCACCCTGTTGGACCAATGACATATCCTCAACTTCACTGTCACAGACTTCACCATCCCCCTGTTCAGGCATAGCAGCCGGCATAACATCTATGGCAAATTTCATGCCTTCTTGGACAAACCAGGATTGACGCCGACATGGTTGTGAGTCATGACTAATCTCGCAATATACAGCATGGTGGGAGCACACCACATCCACCCCCACCATTGGCAGCAATTGCTCACATTGCAACAACCTTGGGACTTCCAAGGGGATTCTTTCAACATGGTACCCATCTTCCAACATGGTCCAAACAACCACCAGGATCGGCATGAGACGAGAGTCTTGCTCTTGAATACCGACCATGTACAAAGTATCAAGATTGTCAGCCTCTCTAGGCGTGACCTGTGGGAAAACACGAGCAGCCGTGAACTCCTGTTCAACATCGACAGCGTCCCACAGCTGAAACCTCATGTGACTGACAAAGGTCGGAAAGTCATAGGCACCCCAGGAGCACATCAACGACCATGAGTGCTCAAGACCAGTAGAAACGCGCCCGAGTGTGAAAATCACATAGTCAGCCCCCTTTCGACACATGGCATTAAACTCTCTTCTTATTTCCTCAAAATCCAAAACGTTTGTGTTCCTAGAAACGAACTCTTGGAAAGCAGCCCAATGAACGTCTTCCCCAGCTTGTGACGGGAGATCGCGGCTCCAAACTTGATGACGCAGCAAATCACGAGAAAAGCGCCTTCCTGAGGAGACAGCGAATCTTTGCATCATATTGACGATGTCTGAACCATCCACGTTCTGTTCGCCAATATTCGAGGTTGCAGTGTTATCCTCGCTTGGTGCACGGAGCGCTACATCCCCTTGAACGTTATATCCTCCCTGCTCACATTGTTGGTCTCTCTTGACCATCACAAAATCCAGGAAGGAAAACTCAGGAACACGCAACTGTTCATCAAAATGGAAAATAGCTTGCGGCCCCCATTACGCAAAGAGAAGAGGACCACCACTTGTTTGGCTGCATCCATTAGCTCATCAAGTTGCAACAAAGCACCAATCTGCTTCACCGTGAAAGTGCGAGGGCGCATCACTGCCTTTCGAGAGACAAAGGTTCTCCCTGTGCGCGGCAAAGCTTCACTGGTGAGCCAGACGTCAATCAGATGAGCCATGTGATCATCTGGCATCTTGTGGTTCTCGAAGGCCAATAGATGCACTTGCGCAGGTTCCATACTCGAGATTCTCGGAGGTTGTGGAACCACCGCTGCCACTCGCGGCGCACGGAAATCATCATTAACTCGCCAGTATTGTCTGAAGTTCCTGGCCCAATTGTCCTCAGCCATGAGCAGACGATCGCAGTCAAAGACTACAGGCAGAGCTGGGTGTATACGCCACACTGCCAGCATGACTATCTCCTCATCCACAGGGCCTTGGTTCATGCCTCGAATCCACCTCTGGAGCATGTCTCTTTTGACGAAATTTTGTTTGGCAAAATACATCATAAATGGACTGCTTGTGCTGTACTGCCTGCTCAACACGAGCCCATCTGATTGCAGCTGTTTGCTCCTGCGTGAGCTGCATAAAACTCATGCTGTCACCCGAGTGCTCGAGGAACGACGTTGCTGTGGCAGGGGTTGCAGTGTTATCCCTTAGCGATCCAGCCAACGCAACAACACTATGCCCCTCTCTAGGCTCACCAGTACTGGCGCATCCGATTGCATCCTTTTGCTCCTGCATAGATTGCGCAAGACTTGCATTGCCCTTGAGAACATCGTAAAACTGCCGCTCAGGAGCATTGAGGGTTGCAGTGTTATCCCCCAGCGGGCTCCCCTTTTTTTACACCCCAACCTCTTTTTTTTAACCCACCACTTTTTTTTAACCCCCCGACCCTTTTTTTAACCCCCTCAAAACAATTGTTTTTAACCCTTCAGACCTTTTCTTTTTAACCCCCCCGACCTCTTTTTTTTAACCCCCGGACCCTTTTTTTCTCACCCCCGAGCACTTTTTTCTAACCCCCAACCTTTCTTTTTTAACCACTGACCTTGCTTTTTTAACCCTTGACCCTTGCCTGCGAGTGCCTATGCCCCTCGGACCACTTACACAGCGCCCACCCAGCACGCTGCGCCCGCCCACTTGCCGTGATGACGCGGGGGTGTCACGCTGTTGCGCGGCTTGGCTCCATAGCGGCAGCGCGCCTGTAGACACCTACCCCTCCGAAACTGGAAGACTTGCCTTGTCTCACCTAGATTTGTCATCTTGTGCTGGACGACACCTCCATCCACTAACCTTTTCTGTACTATGTGCATGGGGAGGCGCGCGCCTGTAGATACCTACCCCTCCGAAACTGCAGCTGTCAAGCGCCTCCTTTCGTCACTTCCACTCGAGTTTGACTTGAAAAAAACGCTGCGCCCTCCCTTGTGGAACACGTGCGCAATCGTCAAGCGGAGTGTGTGAAAAAGAGACAGCAGCGCCTCCCCGCGAATTCAAAGCAAAGGTACTTGCTCAACCACCACAACAACAACAACAGCAGCAACAACAAATCCAACAACGACAAGTGAAGCAAGTACCTTTGCTTGACTTCGGGGGAGGCGCTGCGCCCTCCCCCCGAGCCCCCTCCAGCTTTATTTGTTTTCAAACAGTCCCCCTGACGCCTGCGCACGTGTTGAACAGAAACAACAACAGCAACAACACCAACATCAACAACAACAAATCCAACAACAACAACAACAACAACAACGACAACGACAACGACAACGACAACGACAACAACAAATCCAACAACAACGACGACGACGACGACGTAGGGGGGGAGGCCCGGCGCCCCCCCCCCGAGCCCCCCTCCAGCTTTCTTTGTTTTCAATCAGTCCCCCTGACGCCTGCGCGCGTGTTGAACAGCAACAACAACAACAACAGCAGCAAGAACAACAAGAAATCCAACAACAAATCCAACAACAACAACAACAACAACAACACCAGCAGCAGCAGCAGCAACAAATCCAACAACAACAACAACAGCAACAACAACAACAACAAGCGAAGCAAGTACCTTTGCTTGACTTTGGGGGGAGGCGCTGCGCCCTCCCCCCGAGCCCCCCTAGTGCCACGCTAGTAGTAACAGGTGCCACGCTAGTAATAACAGGTGACACGCTAGTAGTAACAGGTGCCACGCTAGTAGTAACAGGTGCCTTACTACTAGTAACAGGTGCCTTACTAGTAGTAACAAGGACGCTAGTAGTAACAGGTGCCACGCCAGTAGTAACAGGTGCCACGCTAGTAGTAACAGGTGCCACGCTAGTAGTAACAGGTGTCTTACTAGTAGTAACAAGGACGCTAGTAGTAACAGGTGCCACGCTAGTAGTAACAGGTGCCATGCTAGTAGTAACAGGTGCCTTACTACTAGCAACAGGTGCTTTACTAGTAGTAACAAGGACGCTAGTAGTAACAGGCGCCACGCTAGTAGTAACAGGTGCCACGCTAGTAGTAACACATCCACGCTAGTAGTAATGGGTGCCTTACTACTAGTAACAGGTGCCTTACTAGTAGTAACAAGGAC